CTTACAAGATTTACAGATTGCTCTGCAGCCTAGCCTCCGGGCCTAATCCACATGGGTCACTCCTGTACATGCTGAAAGCCAGGAGGTGGCTCAGTAGAAGCACGGGGCCAGGCAGTAGGGCTCAGTGTGGGCTCCGTCATCAGGCTCCCCCTAGCTTCTGGCCTTGCCACGCGATAACCTTTGCAGATACATCCCACATTCCCACCGAGGGAATACATTTCCCCTGGACGGCAGCACATCTTTTCAGGAGGTTCTACCAAATTTAGAGGAGAACGAGAAAGCTCATCCTCCTCCCCCTAGAGGAAATGCATGATGGGAATGTCTCCTAGGTCCTGTTACACATGACCAGACGAAGCCCAGGAGCCGACAGAAGAGGAAAACAAAATTTCACGATGCCTCTTGTTTTCCAAATCCAGACCCACCGGTTACGGATCCTTCCTCTCCCAGGGTTGGCTACTGGCTTCTTGACGGTCTCCCTGGGCATCCTGAGAACCTGGCTTGGTCTCTGCCTACCTTGGGTATGCAGGTTGTTGGCTCTTTCTTTTGGCTACCTTTGGGAATGACTCTGGATCTTAGGAAGGTGCCATCCCTGGGAAGGTCCCTCCTTGGGGACCTGTCCTATACCCAGCGGGGAAGGAGGGGTTATTTAACGCTGCCAGAATATTTACTGTTTGTCCCAGCTGAAAACGGGCAGGCTATTTACAATATATTTTTTTAAGTAGCTCTGTAGTTAAAAGTTAGATTAGAAGCTGATATTCAGAACCTGATAGGAATTTTTTTAAGGCTTCCTCCCCTAAGTTAAAATTAGAGCTATGTACCCGGAAGGAAACGAAGCAAATTGAAGATAATTGGATGGGGAGATCAACCCACAATGCCCTTTAAGTTTGTAACATAAAGGATTCCTTAAGGGATTGAAGGCATCTGTTCTCTATCTTACAAATCTTGGCAAAACTAGAAATACCGCCTCAGAAATAATTCAAAGACCTTTCACCTGTCCTTTTTATCAATTCCCAAACCTTCCCTCCTTATCTCAAAAGAGTTAAAGGTATTGTCCTTAGGAATACAAAGTCGTTCTTGGAGGTACTTAGCTACTTTCTCTGTGCCTTTGTGACGGGGACTTTCTACCCACATCTTCTCTAGGACCTAAGAGCTAGTCTTTGAAAGACAAACTTTATGGGGGCCCCCGGGCGGTTCAGTCGGTTAACTGTCCAACTTCAGTTCAGGTCATGATCTCATGGTTGGGGAGTTCGAGCCCCATGTCAGGCTCTGTGCTGTCAGCTCGGAGCCTCGAGCCTGCTTTGGAATCTGTGTCTCCCCCTCTCTCTGCCCCTCCCCTGCTTATGCTCTGTTTCTCTCTCTCACTCTCTCTCTCTAAAGAAAAAAAAAACATTAAAAGAACGAGAAACAAACTTTAGGGAGAGATTTCTCATCAGAAAAGAAAGACAGACAGAGACAGAGGGAAAGAGGAAGTCTGGCTATTGGGCACATGAACACAACTTCTGCACATACATTAGAAAGCACAAGATCTCGGCACCTGTTCGAGTATGTCTACACCCATGTGTTGCGGGTGTGGGATCATTTCCTACTTCTGGATGGCACTGCCAAAATTAATTTGTAAAAGAACTCGACAGAGTTGGCTTGAGACACCATCTTGTAAGGCTTGGCTCTTCTAAAACTCTCAGAAATCATAAAAAATGAACCCAAATGTTCTGCAAGTACATGTGATCTAGGATTAATCTTTAGTAAATAAAAGCTACTTGGAGTGTGTTGGTGGAATGAAACAGGCACGCCTTTGGAGTCCTTGGCGTTAAATACGATCCTTTTATGCTAGTCAGCTTTACTCAAAGTAAGATAAGCTCTTGTCATCTCTTGTTATAGGACTTCTCAGCAAGAGAGACAACTGAAGGATCCTGGTTAGCTCTTTAACGCTTTGTAAAATTTTCACGAGTGATCAAAACACATCTGTTAAGAACAAGTATGACGAACAGATAAATAACAGTTTAAAAAGATCTTTAGGCAAATTTCTCAAAGTTTCCCCCAATCTTTTTGGTCCCCTGAAACTTCACATTTTACTGTTAAGTGATAAGTTCAATTTACTGACTCTCCAGATTGATTCCGGATAAGAGAAAATAGAGAAACATTAACTGCTAAAGAAGAATCTAAACCACCAGAAATCGAAAGGGCAAAGCCTCCGTATGCAGAGAATGAGATGTGTGTTTCTGGTAGGAAGAAGAAGGAGGAATAAAAATGCACTTTGCTGTGCCTGAGGAAAAGTAAAGTAATTCTGTCCTAGAGCGAATCTGGTTATTTAAGAAGGGAAGAGACCGGACCAAGTCTGAATGTGAAAAAGCTGTAGAAGTCTTGTAGAAAAGGAATCTTTGGAAAGCGATTTCATGCGTGCCCAGGACGGGCTAAGACAGGAATTACTTTAATTAAGTCAATGAGCTTTAATCCCAAAAGTACCCTTGGTGCGAGGTCACAGTTTGGTTTCCTCTGGAGAAGCCGTTCAGGGTTCAACCTCAAGGTTCCTTATGAACGGTTCCAGCAAAGCAAATTTAAAAAGAGCCTGTGTGGTCGATCACTGTTCTTTCTGCCCTTCGGCAAACCATCCGGCCAGGTTTGTTGAAATCAGGCTTCCTCTGCAAACAAATTCATCTCCATTTGGCTGTCATTGGTGGACATGAGGGTGGTTTTTGGAGAGAAAAATTACGTCTCCATAACATACCGTTTTGGATACCAGAGGACCTCGTTCTGAGGAATGGCCTGGGTGAGTTTGCTATTTGCCTATTCACTGGACTCAATCCGGAATTCTTCTGATCTCCTCAGATGACTGCCTCTGACCCTCCAAACTAACATTTCCAATTCTCCCCCATCCATTCGACTTGGAATCATGACAACTGCCCTCTTCCCCGAGGCCCCGCAAACTGCAGGGAGGTGGCCCGATGTGAACAGCCGTGTTGAGACAAGCTTCATGCATGGTGCTGAGTGAGCCACTCAGAAAGACCACCAGGAACATTCGAACCGCAAACCATGAAAACCCGCCAGATGGCCGCTGCCTCCCCTCTCTCCATCTGGGGACGCCTTGAACCTGGCGTCCAGAATCCCACTGTCAGCACTCAAGACACGGGGTTTGGAACTCGCTCCATTCACCTGTGTTTTCCTTTGGTTTCCATGGAAACACCTCTTATTAACGACCTGATTGCTTGTACAGAATAGGCCTCACTTTGGGGGCCCACCTGCGAGACCACTGCCTGAGATTGGTCACACCAGCTTAACTGACCCGATCTATTCTCAGGACCGAGGCTGGTTAACAGGTAGGCACCAATCTACCAACTCAGCTTCTGGACCATGAAAACGTCTTCAAAGTTTCAAAGGCTCAGCGGAAGGGGTTCAGAGGAGGTCTCCCCAAAACGTGCCACTTTAGCACGTGGACTATTTTGAGCTGAAGACAATCGAGACCCTATTGGCTCAAGAGAAACTTTTTGCCCCTCCCTTAACTACCTAGAAGACTCTGAACTGAGGATCCTTCCCAGAATGAGAGTTATTACAGAGATAAATATATCTGAGGGACCATCTGTATGGCAGGGCGAACATCAAACGACCAGACACCCGCCCCTTACCACCCTGTGAATCATCCTTGTCCCCTTTGCAGCCGCAGGCCCCCATCCCCTTCCTTAGTTCAGGGCTACAGGTATCGTATTTTACCTTTCTGTCTCAGAGCCTCGCATGCGTGTGAGGTTCCCGAACGTATGAAGTATTTGATTTTCTTCTGTTCATCTGTCTCAGGTCAATATAATTCTTAGAGCAGCTGAAGGAAACTGAAGGATAGAGGAAAATGTTTCCTCCCCCACAACATAATATTGCATTTTAAAAAATATACTGCAGAGGGGCACCTGGGGGGCTCAGTCAGTTAAGCTCCCAACTTCAGCTCAGGTCATGATCTCGCAGCTCGGGAGGTCCAGCCCCGCATTGGGCTCATTGCAGTCACTGCAGAGCCCACTTCAGATCCTCTGCTCCCCCCATTCCTCCCCGGCTCATGTGTGTGCTCAGTCTCTCTCTCTCAAAAATAAATAAACACTTAAATATATACATGTATATTTTTTGAGTGTGGCTTTTAGGAAACTTGAAATTATGTACGTGTTCACATGCTGTCTCTATAGACTGAGCCACTAGAATTTGTGGGGAAAGTTGCATGAAGATCTTCTCACAGACACTGCATTTCACAAGAGGGTGACTGTGGCCAAGTCTAGGGGCCATTGCCCTTCCCCAGGGTCGCCCTCTCCCTGGGTCCCCCTCTCCCAGGGTCACCCCTGCTCTGGTCTCCTACCACCAGCCCCGGCCCCTTTACTGTGTGACGTCACAACGGAGAACCCTCATCTTCTGTGTCACTGCCACCTTCGCTTGGAAGGTCAGGCCACAGGGCCCGAAGCTTCTGGAATGGGCAAGGCAGGAGGCCCTACTCAGGTCAGTAGGTGGCGGTTTCTCCCCTGGAGAAGGGGGTGATGTTCAGATGAGATGAGCCAGCAGACATGACGCCTTTTAGGATTTGCTCGGCACATCGCCGAGGACAGCCACCCCCAACGTGGCTCTCCCCACGGATTCGGTGAAGGAAGCTATGGGTTCTGCTGTTGAAGTGGGCTGCCCTTTAAAAGTCCTGCCCTGGGGAGAAGGCGCGCTCTGCTTCCTCAGTGAGTGGCCGGCTCCCCTCCCTCCCCTTTCCCTGTCCCTCTCTGCCTCCCCTCTGACAAGCACAGCTGTCCTGGCATTCGGTGGAGTCAGAAACCAGAACAGAGGAGCAATTGCAGGGTGACGGGGTGGGGGCAGACCTGCAGCTCACTCTTTTTTTTTTTTTTTTTTCTAGGAGAGAGAGAGAGACAGTGTGAGCAGGGGAGGGTCAGAGAGAGAGGGAGTCACAGACTGAAACAGGCTCCAGGCTCTGAGCCAGCAGCCAGCACAGAGCCCGACGCGGGGCCCGAACCCACGAACTGCAAGATCATGGCCTAAGTGAAAGTCGGACGCTCAACCGACTAAGCCACCCAGGCGCCCCGCAGCTCACTCTTAAAGACCCGAATACAAAGAACTCCCTGCTCTGTACATGAAGATGTGCATTTGGCTGTGAAGACCGCGAGCACACACTGTCCTTCCCAGGGAGGGGCCCTCATCCCAGCCCATCTCTTCCACGGTGAAGCAGGTCATCAAGGTCACCGTGGGGAGAAGGGGGGGCGGGAAGACACGGGACAGAGGCTGCCCCATGGGGCCCACGCACAAGTAAGATGATTTCCCACAGTGACAGGGGCTTTGGAGAAAAGGAAGCAAGGGAAAAGAGGAGCCCTGGGGGAGAGGTGTGCCGTTGCGGACAGCTCGGCGATGGAGGGAGGCCTGGGGTGGTGGCCTCGGGGACAGAGTGCCCTGCGCAGACAGCCCGGGGCAGCGGGAGCTTCCCGGGAACAGCCAGGGGGCAGGTGGGATGCAGTGAGCGTGCAGTGCATGGCCTCGGGGCCCAGGACAGCAGTTCGAAATCCGTCCTATGTGTGTGTTTCCAGAAAGAGGCCACAAGCCCTGCAGCCTGGCAGGGACCCCAACTCGGAATGTCCTGTGGGTGCTCTGCGCGAGGTTTCCTTCGTCCCTCAAATTTCTCGAAGCTGAGCAAGAGCATGAGGTGCAACAAGTAACTAGTAGAACTCGACTTACGCTTCTATTCGCTCTGAAAAACAGGGAGCATATTGCCTTCACCTACTTACTGGCTAGAGGGAGGCTGGTACCTCCCCCCCACCTGCACCGAGACCTGCAGTGACCAAGGGCTTCCCACTGTGACCTGTGGGCGTTCACCGGCCAAGGGGTGGCCCGCGAGTGGATGCCTTGAGAGAGACAACTCCCTTCTGTAAGGGGAGGGGGCGTGGCCACCGAGATCTTGTGACCCTGCTGCAGGCGAGCCGCCAGTGACTCACAAACAAGATGCTTTCGAGAGCTGGTGAACTTGAACATGAATTATGTATTTTTCTTTTACCGAAAGACGCAAGTTCCAAATGGGAACTGAAGGCAGGCTGTTATCACACGTACGCCGCTCCGCTTGTTTTCACAAGGAGTCGACACACGCTTCGTGTCCCTTCCGATCAAGAGCTGCTCTGATAATAATAGGTGAGAAGATCCCTCCTTCCCCAAGTGATGTAGAGTCTGGAGGAAAAACTCTGAAAATGGGTGTTTGGCAAGATTTCCAGCCTTATGAAACGGGGATGGCTCACGAGATCTCTCAAAGGTGCAGACCTTTATTTCTGGAATATAAAACTTTCTAGCTTGTTTCAAAATCTTCTAGGGGCGCTGGGGGGATTCAGCTGGTTGAGCCTCCGACTTTGACTCAGGTCGTGATCTCGCGGCTCGTGAGCTCAAGCCCCGCGTTGGGCTCTGTGCTGACAGCTCGGAGCCTGGAGCCTGCGTCTCCCTCTCTCTCTGCCCCTGCCCTGCTCATGCTCTGTCTCTCTCTCCCTCAAAAATAAATAAACATTTAAAGCATTTTTTTAATCTTTGAAAGGGGTTGGTTCTGTATGGTTTTTTCAGCCCATCTGTTAAAATTATGAAAAATGCAATACCTTTTGGCGAACTTGCTGTTCAGAGGGAGGTGCGGATGTGCACCCCGTGGTCCGGGGTGTCCCCCCCATGGAGGAGCTGCCGCCCTGCTCGCTGCCAGCTGTGAGGAAGATGCCCCATCCCCTCTGCCATCTGCCCATTCAGGCTGCAGTCACCAGACAGACATGTATGGGGCCACTCAGGGCAGGCCCTCGGGACCAACCGTGATCCAGACCAACTCAGGCTCTGCTGGTGGGGAGCAAACGGGCTGGAGGAGGACACAGAAAAGCCTCATTGTCCCATCAAGAGATGGAGCGCCATGCTGGCCCATGAAGGAGCACGGAGGGCCTGCATGCTGGTTAGGCCCAGGAGGCTGCCTGGAGGAGGCAGCTGAAGACCAGAACACATGAGGAGGAGCTAAGAAAGGGGAAGGGACAGGGCTCTTGGCCCCTGAGAAGGTCAAGGTCAATTGTGGAGCAGTGAGCTGAGCTCCGAAGGCGGGGGGAGCGGGGAGGGCGGGGAGGATGAGGCTCTGAGGCCGCAAGGGGCTTGAGGGTGGTTCTGGGGGCAGTGGGGAGCATCACGGGGTTTCCACCCTGAGTGACATGTCATCACGTGCGGTGCACACCGCCGTGTCCCTCCCGCCGGTGCCCGCGTACTGCCTGGTGCCTGGTGTGTCCCCCTGTACAGAGTGAGAGGGCCCAGAAACCTTCCCTCCCCAAGCGCAGTTGAGTGCAGACCCCACGATCACGCCGGGGCCGGTGAGTCCCAGGAAGCCAGCTCGCTGGTCTTGCTAACACGACGCATCTGTCCCTTTCCAGGACCAATGGTAATCGCCATTATACACAGAAATTCAATCACAGTTTAATGCTGCGACATTCCCTGGGGCCGGGGCCTTGAGCAGCTGGCCTCACCGGCCATTTTCCTCATGGCGTGTCCCCGTCCATTCCCCGTCACCTCCTTCTCCCCTTCCAGATCACGCTCGACCCACTGACGGAGCCCCGTGTCTCCGTCCTCACCTGTCTCGGGGCCGAGCCCAGCCGTCCACACAGGCCTGGCTGCGATCAGCAAACACACGGGTGAGTGGAGGCTCCCGGCCCAGCCTCCTCCCAGACCTGCCACACAGTTTCCCACCTCTGCCAGGCTGGCCTCCGGGGATGACTTCCCCTCATCCCTGCCCAGCCCCCTCCTCCTTGGAGAAGCAAGTCTCCTTCACAGTCCAGCTTAAAGGCCATCTCTTGAGGTTTGTCCAGCCAGCAAAGGCCTCGTCTCTTGTCTGCCTCTCCTGAAACTGGGGCTGCGTCTGGTCCCCTCTGTGTCCACAGCCTCCAGCCCCAGCCCCAGAGGCAACGCGAGGAGAGCATTTGCCGAAAAACCAAACAAGGACGTACCGCAGAAGCTCGTTGCCATTATATCAGCTTCTGGAACAAACCCTGGCATTAAGTGCTGTCTGGGGCCAGGGGCTGCATAAGAGATGCGTTATTTTAATAAATATAGGATGATCCAGCCGGGGAGATGGGGACGGCGTGGCAAGATTCTCATTAAAACTGCAGACACAGATTTCCATGGAGAGTGGTGCCTGGCCTTGCCTCGGAGATCTCTCTGGGCTGACTCGGGATGGAAAAGGGGTGGCCGGGAAGCGGGGACCCTGCCCCTCTTCCCAGCCAGCCCGGCCACAGTGCCCATGACCTCGCTGCATTGTGCTCTCCGGATAATACCTGCCAGGAATTTTGTTTCAGATCGCTGAGCCGTGCCCCACCCCCCAGCCCATATCTGAATGCTGGAGCGCGGCTTCCAAAACCTCCTGGAAGAAAGCCGGCGACTGGGAGGTTTGGTGCCAAGGCGTGGCAGGTGCAGCCGGGCATGGAGGAAGGGGCGAAGTCTGTGCCAAGAAACCACTTTGCAAGTCAAGGTCCCTGACTTGCCATCACCACCCCCACATCCCCGGGCCTCAGGAAGGGGTGGCTGACCCGCAGGGCATTGGAATGTGGGAGACGGAGGAAGGGCCCCCTGGTTTCCTGGTGGTGCGTCCCAGCCTGCACAGGAAGGCAGGTGTCAGGGGAGGGGACTCACATGGGCATCGACTGGTGATGAGCAGGGCCCTGGGGCAACCTTAGCAGTGAGTGTTGAGGGTTGGGGTCTCAGGACGCACCCGTGGTGCCCCGAGGTGGTCCAGGGCTCCTGCGCATGCTGGGGACATCAGGATGCACCCACGGCACCCTGAGGAGGTCTGGGGCTCCCGTGCACTCTGGGGACGTCAGGACACACCCGCGGCACCCTGAGGTGGTCCGGGGCTCCCGCGCACGCTGTGGACGCACACTCAGCACCTGCCTGTCCCCGGCTCCACTGGCCACTGCCTCGCGGGCCCATACATTGGGACCCTACGAAAGGCAGACTGCTTTTAATCCGTGACTGCCATCCTTTATGCAGACACCACAGCCCCAAGTAATGGATGAGCCACTCCCTTTGGCCGCCTTTATCACACCTGAGAGCAGGCCGTTAGCATTTAGAGGCAGAGCTGGATCTGGGGCCCTGGTCTCATCCTCTGCCGCCGCACAAACAGGCTGCTGGCCTTGTCCCTGCCCAGCAGGCCCGGAGATGAAGCCCCTCGCTTCCCGCTAACAGATCGCCCCCGTTGTGTCTTTAACAGATGCATCCATCAGCGGGAAACAGTGTGGCCGCGTCCATCCAGTGCTCGGAAAGGACGATTCACCGGGGCTCAAAGCAGTTACTGGAGGCCTGGTGGGTTTCAAGACCCTCTCCCTCCTTTATCACCTGATCCCACCCCCACCATGGCCCCGGGGGCAGAGGGGAGCCCTTTGTCCCCCAAGGGGGCTTGAGAAAGTCAGAATGATCGTGAAGAGCCTTTAAAACCTCCACAAAATAAGGAGCACCATGTTTTTGTGCATGTAGGACACACGCACCTTACAAACGGTGCCACGCACCTACCACACGCGTCCATGCGTGATAGAATAGCGCATATATAAAGGGGCGCCGGGGTGGCTTAGTCGGTTAAGCGTCCGACTTCAGCTCAGGTCATGATCTCACGGTTCGTGGGTTCGAGCCCCGCGTGGGGCTCTGTGCTGACTGCCAGCTCAGAGCCTGGAGCCTGTTTCAGTCTGTGACTCCCTCTCTCTCTGACCCTCCCCTGCTCACGCTGTCTCTCTCTCTCTCCTAGAAATAAATAAAAACATTAAAAAAATTAAAAAAAAGAGAATAGCGCATATATGTGTACTTGCATACACCTGGGTAACGTGTGCAGGGAGGGACAGTACGAAATACAAATACTTCTGTGAAGCAGAACCATACAGCACGAGTTCTCTACGCTCCAGCCTCACACTCAGTAGGACGAGATCCCCAGCCTGGCAGCCGCCCGGGGGCGGGGGGCTCTGAAGGCAGAGAATTGGGGTGCCCCCCCATCCACACCCTGGGGCATCTGTCCTGCACCTGGGGGATGGGCAGAGAGCCCACCGTGCCACACTCGCTCTCAGCACCCCTCGCCCCCAGGGGCACACCCCTGAGTCCCTGTGGGTTGGATATGGGTATTATGTTACCTCTACGGTCACACTTCTACCCATTTTGCAGAGAAGTCAACTGAGGCTGAGAAGGACCTACGGCCAAGGTCCCACAGTCAGAAAGCGGGCAGAGCCCAGGATCCCATGTTTGCCCCGCCCCCGCCCCCAGATCTTGCCGGTGGTCTCTCACTTCCTGTGGTGGCCCCTGGGCTCTGCTCTCAGCCGGGGACTCGATCCAGGAGCAGAACACGGAGGGAGCAGACGGGGCTTGGCATCGAGGCTACCTGCCGCTGACGCATTTGCACGGCAGCCAAGCTCCTCGCTGTCCGTCCGTGGGCTCCACCTGTCAGACTCCAGAAGCACCCAAGGCGGCGAGGAAAGCGCCGTGTTTGGGGGCAGGGCCCCGGCTGCCACATGGAGACGCAGCTGGGAGGGAGCAGACAGCGCCCCGGCCGGGCTGGGACACAGCCTGGGAGTCTGGGGGACGTGCTGGAGAAGGGCCCTCGGACACAGCGTGGGCACGGGGCGGGGGGGGGGGTGGCGTGTCCGGCTGAGGCCACGCACGGCGGCTCCGGTGACTGGATGGGTGGGCGGTAACCTCTGCGAGGATGTGTGATGGAGAAGAGGGTGCTCTGGGGCCCCTCCCCCTGGGGGTGGGCCCCCCCCAGCTTCCACCCCTATGCGCACAGATGAACGACATCAGCCACTCGGGCAGGATGTCCCCCACCCCATGCGGCAGTGGGACACGGCTGCTACAGGCTGCCATGGTTCCCAGACTGTGGGCCACGGCACCCCAGGGTGCCACAGTGAGCGACGGACACAGAGGAATTTCTTTTTTCCCGAGAAAAACACAGTGATGTTCAACATCTTCTGAATTCTGCGCCCACTTCCACCTTGAGTTGTTCATAGTATCTTTTTTTAATGTCTCTTTATTTATTTTAGAGAGTGTAGAAGCAGGGGAGGGGCAGAGAGAGAGAATGTGAAGCAGCTCCAGCCTCTGAGCTGACGGCAGTGAACCCGACGCGGGGCTCGAACTCACGAGTGGTGAGATCATGACCTGAGCCGAAGTCGGACGCTTAACCGACTGAGCCCCCCAGTCCGCTCAGGTTGTTCATGGTGTCCACATGCGATCACGTCACCTCCCTTTCGATGGCACCTCTCTCTGCCACGCCGGGTTTCTGGAGGGGGCGGTGATGAGAAGGAAGATCAGTGCGGACGAGGAAACGAGGGCGCTGACGCGGGGCTCGGCCGTGACTCCAGGGCCTGAGGGGACGGAGGAGCTCCCCCCATCGTGGTGAAGCATCGAGCCAAATACCATTCTGGCAGGTGAGTCGCATTTTTAAAAATGATTGTGATTTAACAGGACCTGCCTGCTTATTATGTGCCTGGACCTAACTACTAAATAAGCCTTTAGTAAACCTATTTGTTTGTTAATTTATTTATTTAATTTTTTTTTAATTGAGAGAGAGAGAGCATGAGGGGGTGAGGGGCAGAGAGAGACAGAGACAGAGAGAGACAGAGAGGATCTCAAGCAGGCTCCACGCTCAGCGCAGACCCCGATGCGGGGCTTGAACCCATGCCCCTGGGATCATGACCTGAGCCGCAATCAGGAATGGGACGCTCAGCCGACTGGGCTCCCCAGGTGCAGAGGTCAGGGTGCTCCCTGCCACCCCAGTCTCGACTCTCAGTCTTTAACAGAGGAACCAAGACCCTTGGGGCAAGTAGCTGATTCTGGGACCGGGCAGGGAAATGTAGCCGGTGAGCCCGGAGCAATTCCGACGTGCGAGAGGACGTGCGAGAAAATACGGATCATAGTGAGGGGTGTGTCCCCGGGCCCGGATCCAACCGAAAGAGCCAGCTGAGCAACAGAACAGCTACAGAAGTGTTAGATTAACCCAGAGGATGACGTAAATATTTGTGGTCCATCCTCATATCAATAGACGACAGAATAAATAAATAAATGAGGGAGACAGCACAAATCTCCTTGAAGGAGAATTCTAAATAATTTATGGAGACGCTCTGCCCTCAAGGAAAAGGGGCCACAACTCCCCTGTCCCCGAGGTGGGGGCCCCCCAATGACCTCCCGCTGGACAGCACAGTGTGGGAAGGGGGGTGAAAAGGAACCTCACAGCTGCGAACCCTGGGAAACACCACCTCGGCCGGGGGACCGAGGTCAATGTCATGGTGACAGGCCACGTTCACAGCACGCCCCCCCCCACCCCGATATGATGTGATGAGAAGGAGGCTTCACCTCTGTGGTTCCCCTCCCCCCAAACCGTGACCTCAGTCTAATCACAGGAAAAACATCAGACAAATCCCAACTCAGAAAAACGCTCTAAAAACACCAGACGAGCACTCTTCAGACACATCAAGGTCGTCGGCAGGCGGAATGTCTGAGAAGCGCCGCACGCCCGGGGCCGCGGGAGCCCAGGCAGCCCGACCACTAGCTGTATGGGGTGCCCCGTATGGGGTGCCCCGACGCGGTCCGGCCGCAGAAGGTGGGCGGCAGGGAAACGCCGAGGAACCCGAATACAGAATGGAGCTAGTTAATAAGAACGCGGCCATATCGGTTCCTGATCCGTGACAAACATACCCAGCTACGGACAGGGGGAGCCGGGTGTGAGGTGTGGAGGGGCTCTCTCTGCTCCGTCTTTACAATTTCTTTGTGAATCCAAAACCGCCGCAAGATTTAAAACTCTAAGAAAAGGGGCGCCTGGGTGGCTTAGTCGGTTAAGCGTCCGACTTTTGCTTAGGTCACGATCTCGCGGTTCGTGGGTTCGAGCCCCGCGTAGGGCTCTGTGCTGACTGCCAGCTCAGAGCCTGGAGCCTGTTTCAGTCTGTGACTCCCTCTCTCTCTGACCCTCCCCTGCTCGCGCTGTCTTTCTCTCTCTCTCCTAGAAATAAATAAAAAACATTAAAAAAAATAATAAAAATAAAACTCTAAGAAACAAGACGCTTGAAAACTAAATGCCAGTGTTGAAGTCGGTGGACCCATGTCCAAATCGAAGCTCTGTGACCTCCTCTCTGGGTGGCAGAGGTTAGCGCTCACCAAATGCCCACGTGCGCCTCCACCTCCTGGGCTCGGGCTTCCTCCGGGCACCGGGGGCCACGTGTGACCAGATGAGAGAGGGCATGTCACCCCCTGACCAAAGGAGCAGGAGCCAAGTGCCTCCCCGGAGACGGGAGGAGCCCTCGAAATTCCCGAGGGAGAAGCGGTCTGCGGTGCGCTGAACGGACCGTCACGCTCATCACCGTTACGTCCACGCTGTCCTCTCCAACACCACCACCGTCTTCTGATGAGACGGGGCCCACCGCCTGTACCCCAAGGGCAGGGCTCCCCCACCCGTCAGCCCTGGAGGATGGTGGCATTTCCCGTCCGGGGTAGTCCAGGAAGCTGTTTTAAAAACGTTTTCTTCGTTTTCTTCCCAGATTAGTCATTTATTTTTAAAATCACATCTCATCGATCCTCAGCCAGGGGAAACAAATGTGCCTGAGCACGTGTGCGTCCCCACAGAACTGGGAGACGGCAGGCGGCGCGGCTCTCCCTCCCTCCGAGCTCACGCCCGCTGACAGGCAGTCACAGGGTCAGGGGCAGGCGCATCAGAGGAGGGAAGTTCACTTCCAAAGCTGGCCGTGCTCTGCCTCCTGTGGGCCGGAGCCGCGCCCTTGGGAAGGCCACCCCCCGTGATTACGGGCAGGGACACACGAGCCTACTGATGTCGGGGCGTCAGCAAGCGGCACCCACAACACGCCCCAGACAACTCCCAGGAAATCTGGGGTATTTTCTCTTAACTATGGGGACCATTGGCTTCTTCTTTTTTTTTTTTTTTCTAGAATCCAATATTTTCAACACTCACTGTCATAGTAACCATGCTGTGGGGTTTCCTTCTAGAAAGAGCTTCCTGGGGCCACAGCTCCATGGGAACCAGAGCGGGATTAAGGCAGGGTAGGGGCCGGTTCAGGAGGGGCTCGCCACCGCTTCCCTCCCCCCGCCCTGGCCCCGAGCCCTTGGACACGCCTCCTCGTCTCCCCAAGGTCCGGCACCTTCAGATGGAAAGTCAGAGCCGCCACCCAGGACCCCGACTCCGTGAGCGATGTGCCCAAAGTCACACGCAGCTCTAATCCGACTAGATTAATCCGACCCTCAGAGCAAGACTCCCAGGACCAGCATCATCTCGAGGGCAGTGAGAGGAAACAGAGGAGGCCCAGGCTCTGTGTCCCTGGTTCCCCTCCCCTCCCCTCCCCACCCCTGCTGTCCAGCCCTGGCCAAGAACAGCCCCCCTCCTCTCTGCAGGGGCCCAGGGAACGAGGCTACTCTGGCACCTGCTTCATGGCAGTGGCTGGGAGCTGGGGACACACAGGCAGGAGGTGGCTCCACCCCCAGAGTCAGTATATCCCGGCCCCCCCCGCCCCCCCAGGAGAGGCGGGTGAGAGACGGGGCAGGACCCGGGGACCGAAAACGGGCCCTTTGCTGGAAGGGTGAGTCATCTAAGGCTCAAGGA